TATAATAGTTGATAGTATGAGTGCCTAAAGAATATTTCCCTACATATATACCTATAATTATATCTTAGTTCATAATCGGAGGAATGCCTAGAGTGGACACAGTACAGAGCATGATTTAAGGGAAAACAGTTATACCAGGACAAGAATCCATGGCCCAGGTGGCAGTGTTCAGTATTGTAGATACCCGCTGTATGGCAGGCTTGGGGCAAGAGCCACTCCTCCTGATAAAGGAGTTGTAGGACCTTGCTCCAGTTCTTGTGAAAGTCTGCCCTCAGACTGGCAATCCACTTTGGTGACTGTGAACTTTATCAGCTCTTGCTACTGTGCTGCTTGAAAAGCATCTTCCCATAGAACTCATTGGAAGCTGCCAGAAGGTGGTGGTAACCTTGACAGCTCTGTCACTGCTATGTGACTTAAAGCATCCTCCTATAAATTTTCTTAGTAGTTTCCCATAGATAGAAGTATTGCACACTGCATCCTCTTCACTGTGCACGGCCCACCTTCAAGCCTCGGTGACCTAACGGGGGTGGACCCTTTACTGCATACGGCCCTTGCCTTCGTGGGAATGGGTCCCTTGCTGTGCACTGTCCACCTCCTGGCCTAGGTGACCTAATGGGGGTGGACTCCATGTTTTATTGCTCACGACCCTATCACTATCCTTAAAGATGATTTCACTCACTGCCCTGCCCCCTAACCTATACACAATAAATACTCATGCTTCTGGACATTCGGGGCCTCACCTAACTCTGCTTACAGGTGGCGTGGCCCCCCGAGCCCAGCTGTGTTTTCATTGTACGTCAATGTCCTGTCTCTTTATGTCTCAGATCCTGTGCCTCAGCACAGCATAAGGCTCACCCCACGACCCTGTGGGGCCATCAGCCCTGCAGGACAGGAAGCAAGCTCTCTTGTGTCTCTTCTTATAAGAATGCTCATCTCCTCATAAGGGTTCTACCCTCATGACCTAAACCTCCATTTACTCCCAAAGGCCCCATCTCCAAATATATCACATTTGGGATTAAAGTTTCAACATACGAATTTATGGGGCAACAGTGGGGACACAGACATTCAGTCCATAGCATACTGTTTTAGACATGTTAACTGGTTTAAATACATAACTACCACAAATGAGTATGGTGCTTTACCTTGAACAAGACCTAAAGTTTGCTTGTAGAAGTGGTGTCAGGTAAGTTGAAGCTTGTGAGTTATTCAGAAGCATTGGAAAAAGGATTATCTGAAACTGTATGGAAAGAGGTAACACTGGATGTGAATGGGTGCAGCTCTGGGTACATGGTAACTGAGGTAGCTGATAGATGTTTAAGGCATGTATCTATGTTCATTTTGTATATCCCTATGCAGTTCCGTTCAGCTGAATGCAGTCTTCTGTATTCAATTAGTTGTGTGTAGACAAAATTATACATAAGCAAATGCAACATTTGCATATGATTACATTGTTTCCTATGTCAATTGTATTGAACAAATCTTCATTTTTAAAATGAGTGCCATAGCAGAACTAGCTGTACTAACTGCCTCTTGGGATGTCATGAGGATTAAGTGAGATAATTCATATAAGTGTTGAATCCAGGGCCTGATATATATCCATTTGAGATATATCCATTACACTAGCAACATTATTCACCACTGATAAGTGGTGAATAATGGATATATATCAAATTATTATATTTTAAACTAATCAAAGAATGAATCAATGAACACAAGAATGCCTAATTGTGAGTGAGAAGCAGTCATGTAGAAAGTGTGTGTGGTGGGAGGAGGAAGGCTGATGATTTATCTTGCTAAAAAGAACTTTCTTGAGGAGTAAATGATTTCAGAGACCAGCAGCAGGCTATGCTATGCTGTATAACCAGGAGGACAAACTACATACCCTCCTTGCACCTATTAGCATGAATATGATCACAGAGATATATCTGTCCCACTACTATGCAGGTCTCACTGTCTGAGACTTACTATATTTTATAGATCAGAAATTTTGGCAGGGTTCAGCTGGGTGATTCTTCTGTTCTTCATGGTATAATCAGAGGTCACTTAGTGTTATTCAGCTAGCAGGTAGGCTGGTGTGGAGGGTCCAAAATAAATTCTTTCACATATCTGTTGCCTTGGGATGACTAGAAGGCCAAGCCCAGCCAGGACTGCCAACTGGAGCACCTATATGTCACCTCTCCAGGATAGTCCTGGTTCCAAGAGCCAGGAAGAAGATGCTGCAAGTCTTCTTACCTTGCCTTGGTAGTTCTAGAAAAATAGTTCTGGAACTCTCTACCAATTAAGAAGGTTACTAACCAATTCAATGGCAGAAGAGTTAGTCTAGGTTTCCATAAGTGGGGAAAGCAAAGACTCTGGGGCCATCTTTAATCTACCACAGTGCTCTTGAAAACTCAGCTCCAACAACATCTCCAGAAAATAGAAGTGAAGCTCTCTGCTGTAGATGACCCTCCTTGGATATTCTACTATAAACTGTGCATATTTCAGGTATGATATGTGGCCTATCCTGTGCTGTATGCGTTGGTTTATCAAATGCTGCCCATGGGCTGCAAGCTCCAATGGGGTAGCGACTACGTGTCATTTAATTTAGGATTTGTAGTGCCTTTGTATAGTCTCTGGCACTTGGAAGGCCCTTAATAAATCTTGAATAAGTGGGTAAATGAATAAACCAATAAATTAGAAAGAATGACCTTCACCTCTTCTGTTGAAGGATGATGCCTCAAGAGCAGGAGCCATGCCTGTGCCCCTTGTTCCCCAACACAGAATAACACAGCGATTAAGTGTCACTGCCTGACACTTAGTCAATACTTAATCAATGTATTAAGTGACTTAGTCAATACTTAATCAATGTTTTTGAAAACCCAAATACATATGCTCGCATACTCAGACTCTGCTAACCAGCTGTGGCTGAGGGTCCTCACACAGCTAAGTTTTCAGCTGTAGGCTGAAACTGAGGCAGATTGAGTTGAAATCAAGACCTGAGTGTGGGGACTTCTGGTTCTAGTGATGGGGCCAGGAATTAGAGCAAGTTGCCACTGTGAACACCAAGAGAAAGGGACAAATGGAAACTGGACTGACAGGTGGAGGCAAAGAGGAACTAGAAGTCAGCTTTCCCGTTACTGTATCTTTTCAGTAGAGAGCACTTTCATTCACACGTGCATCAGGTGGGCAGGGTGACTCATTGCCAATATTTATCAAAGTTCTCCACAAAGACCTGCCTGTTAATATATACCAATACACACATGCACACACACACAAAGCAGCTTTAGGTTCAGGTCAAGTGGGAGAACTTTGGAAAGAAGGAAAATGAGTATTTGCCACAGAAAATGAGTATTTACTGATGTAGGTGCTGTTAGTTACCATTTGCAGTGAACCAGGTGTCAACTATGTCACTATTTTCAGTCTAATTTAATTTAGCATTGGACTAGATGTGGGCTATTTATAAGGAATGATACTGACTGTGGCTTTGGTTTTGGAGCAGGTGGGAGCCAGTTTAGCCTATGGGGGCCGTGGCCTGCACAGTTCCCAGTTTGGGCACTGTAAGCAGATGCCCAGTCCAGGCACTGCCTCAATTAGACAGGCCAAGTGCTCAGGAGCCATCAGCCCACAGATAATGGCTCTGCAGGAGCTCACTGAAGAGAGTCAGTCCCTGTCTTTGCTGAGGCCTCTGTGGTTAGGATGCTCAGGACAAGGAATCTGCTAGAAACCCAGGACTTTGTCCTGCCTGGTCTAACCCTTCAGGAAAGATGCAATGAAATGGTTTGTTCCCGGGTAGGTTACCCCTTTCCTCATATGGGGCCTTTGGTATCTTCCACTGGACACAAAGAAAGGGCCTTCACAAGTCTCCCTGAATGGGAGCAGTAGCTGAGTTGAACTCTGAGACATATCCTGGCATTCTTGGACTTCCCACACAGGCCCAGGGTGCCTGTGGGGACTTTTCCCAGAACAAATTGAAGGTATACACTCTGACCTGAGAGGTGGCCACTGTGACCAAAGCCGAGCATAGCAAAGTCACATGCCTGACTGGAGGAGGGGCAAGGACTGCGAAATCCCAGCAGGCAGCCAGCGGTGAGCAGGCCAGCAGCAGCCTCAACTGAGGACGATTTCTTCAAACACAACTGCATGACTAACAAATCAGGGTGGGGCATGCAAACCACACAGCTCTGCTGGAGGCCGAGGTAGAAGCTGGGTGGAGATGAAGATTCCCTCCAAGCCCTCCTCAGTGACGCAGCAAATCTAGGGGTTGGTTGAGAGTGCTTATCCTTACCCCCATTCTGCAGTTCCAGACCTCGAATACTGATCTGATGGACACAGGCACCTTCAAAGGGAGCTCAGCACCACACCCAATATTCAGGCTGTAAATAAAGCCAGCACAAGCGTCTGGAATACACTGTGCCCAGTCTCCTACCTGGCAGGCAGCATATCATTTCCCGAGCCTCCCTGGCCCAGTGCCCACCCTTCAGTTCCCTGTGCCTCCCAGCCCGGGCACAGGGGCGGTAACACATTTTAAATTAGACCTGTTCCTTTTCCATTCATGAGCTGTCAGACTGCTCACAAGGGGTCCAACCTGGCATTCCATCTGGGGTACAGTGACGAGGGTGGCCAGACTCCAGGCCCAGGTGGGCACATATTCATGAGTTGGGTCTGAGAAGGTTCTGATCCACTTTAGAGTTGTCCTAGGGAAGGCGTGATAGGGAAGAGGAATTTGAAGCTTTTCTGATGCTCAGGAAGAAGGCACGCCACTGAAGTCTGTTTTTCCCTTGTCATCTTTAATTCATTACCTGGCACAAAGGAAAGCAGAGACATATTTCTGACGGGTTTTTTTATTAGTCATTACAGCGTGGTGAGTGTGTCATCTTTCTGTGTGCTCACATGCAATGCCATGTCACTGTGCAGCCTGGTTCCCAACGTGGCCCCTTGGTGTCCCAGTTTTCGCTCCCTGAGGGCCAGGGACATGCCCTTTCTGTTTGGAAATGTCAGCCTGGTCTCGTTGGCTTCCCTTCTTTCCCCATTCTTCCAGAAAAGTAGACCTGGGAGGAAAGACTGGGTTTTCCAGCGCCTGCTGACTTTCTTGGAAATGATGGGCATAGTGCCCAATTTGCTATTGCCCTAGTTTCCAATGGCTACTTCTAAAGAGGAAAGCGATCCTCTCCTTTCTTGCAGGCTGAAACAAGGAGGAGGTGAGGAGGTGGGGAGGGCTGGGGGACGCACATCTAAACCTGCTATTTCCTTTCCTCAGAGGTGGGGAATAGTCATCCTCCCAGCTAACATTTACCTCCAGGGAGAATGTCACTTCCATTTGGCTTGCATCTTTTCTCTTTTTATCGTGTGTGGCAATATTTTTCTATCGCGTGTGATGCACACACCTTACTCTCAGGGAGATTTATGGAGATCAATGGCTTGTCCTTTCTTTCCCTCAGTGGAAATTGCAGGCCCCAAAGCTGTCTGGGTTGTTTCTATAAAACTGTCCAGGCATATTCTGAACAATGATCCTGGATATTTGCAGGCCCTACTCCCCCCTTAGCTCCCATCTTTCTTCCCCCAAAGAAAGGCTCTTTTCTTCCTTTCTCTCATCTTTTGAGACTATACCTCAGGGGGGCTGTAACTGGGACCCCAGGCCTGAGACAGATCAATGGCAATTGATTAATTCAGAGTGAGAGAGTGGAGTGTATGTGTGTGAGAGAAGGAGAAATAGAGACAGACACAGAGACAGAGGCAGAGATAGACTGAAAGAGAGACAGAGAGACACAGAGACTGTTTGCATGCATCCTGCAATCGTGTCCTGCTATTTTAGACTAAGCTTCACTCTTGATCATCTATTAAAAAAAAAAAAGCTAGAATAATAGATCATGATAATATTGTTATAATAGCAATCTAATGATAATGAATGCAACATGGGCCATTAAGAAATGTCTTCAGGCCAAAAATTGCTAACACAATAAAGCTCACTATGTGCCAGTAACTGTTCTGAGCACTTCACATACATGAACTCATACCAACTAAATAACCTCGCCACAGTCCTATGATATGCCACCTATGAGGTTAGTACTGTTACCAGTTACCCTATTTTATATTAAGGAAACCCCACTACATTGAGGCAAAAATAGCAGAGGAAGCCTTCCAAGTTTCTAAGAAGCTGTAGCCATTCAGGATCTTTTGGGGCAATTCAGCACGGCAGGGTTATGACATCTGGGTTGTCTGGGGTGACTCGCCATGTGCTTAATTGATGTCTTCATTTTTCCAAAGATCTGGCACTTACTGAAGCTCTTGGAACATTGATGCATATTGTGTATGACCAGAGGGAAGACAGTAAATGAATGATTAAGTGACGCTTACCAAAGGCCTCACTTCAAAGTGGGGTGGCCATAGGAAAAAGGGTTCTGTGGTCAGTGAAACTAGGAAATAATAAGTTAAATAGACTAGAAGTTTCCTTATTCACCGGACTTCTCAGAGCTTTTAATGTGGTAACATGCACTGTGACCCTTCCCAAAGAAAACAGAGAATGAAGCCTTTCATCGCAGATTAGACTTCTTTGTGAGAGACGCTCATGGGGCTGGAGTTCCGTGGACTATATAGTAGCCTCGGTTATCCACACTTTTGCTGTCCTTGGTTTGTTACCCATTGTCAACCATGGTCTGAAAATACTAACTAGAAAAGTCCAAAAGAAAACAATCCATATGTTTTAAATTGCACGCTTCTGAGTAGTGCAACGACATCCCACTTACACTGTCCCACTCCTGGCCTCCCTGGGATGTGAATTCTCCATTTGTCTGGCATCTCCACACTGTCTACGCCACTGAGTGCTTGTGTCCAAGTAACCCTAATTTACTTAATAATGGCCCCAAAGCGCAGGAGTAGTGATGCTGGCACTATGGATATGCCAAAGAGAAGCTGTACTGTGCTTCTTTTAAGTGAAAAGGTAAAAGTTCTCTTTCCTCTTAAGGAGAAAAGAAAAAAATTACACCCTGAAGTTGCTATGATCTCTAGTAAAAATAATCTATCTGTAAAATCGTAAAGAAGGAAAAGGTAATTTGGACTAGTTTTGCTGTCTCACCTCCCTCTGCCAAAGTTACAGCCATAGTTCATGATAAATGCTTAATTAAGGTGAAAAGGGCATTAAATTTGTGGGTGGAACAAGTGAATAGAGACATATTGCAATGAACAACTATTTGTGGTTTCAGGCATCCACTAGGGGTCTTCAAATGTACCACCACAGTTGGAAGGCAGTGGGTGGGAGACTACTGTACTTTGGGAAACAGTGTCTGACATAACCAACCTTTTCACTGTCAAGGTGAGTATTGACCTGATATGACCTAGAACTTGAGACATGTCTCTGGTTGTCTGAAAAGACCTGAACATTTGGAGACACAGAAAGAAGAATTTGGATATGCCATTTGGGAGTCATAAAGCACAGTGGAACCCCAACACCTGCTGTCTCTGATGCACTCTCCTCCCCACATCTTTACCTTTGGGCCAGTATACCTAGAGGGGACATTCTGGATATCAATGACATCCCAGAAGGAAAGCGTCCAGCTCTTCTCTTTCTCTGTGCAGGGTTCTCTCACCACCATCAGCAAATGGATGGCAAACTTATTGATGTCCTTAAAATAGGGGCTCCCATGAGTCAAGAACTTCATATGTGATTCCATGAAGCTTTGTGAACACCAGCTATGCTTTACCACCACTAAGCAGTACTACTGAGGAGATCGAGGGCCAAGAACTTCAAAGTAATTTGCTAGAGGACTTTTTATAGATGCAGATGTACAAAAGTATGAGGCCAAAAGCACCCCATTGAAAGACACATAACTTCTGAGCTGGAAGGAAGAAAACTTGGCAGAAAAGAGTTCCTACTGTCAGCAACTAAAGAAAACAGTCATATATGCAACAACCATATTTTGAAGCCCTCCCCAGTAACCAGTAATTGACTATCCTACAGAAGCTTCCTTTGGAATGCTTTCATACCCTACCTATTCTTATTGCTTCTTCCAGGTATACAATCTTCAGTGTTCCCTTCTGACTAAAGTAACTGTTCTCCTTGCTTCTACTCTCACCCGCCTCCTGGACACACTGCTAGATTAATCTTCCTGAAAGGCCAGCAATCTGAAAACACCAATGGGGTTAGTTTAAAAAAAAAAAAAAAAAAAAAGACTTTTAAAAAATCCTGCTTTCCCTAGCCAAAGACAAATGGTAGCCTAGCAAGATGGAAAATTTTTAGACAATAACAATCTCACCCCCAGCCAAACATCAAGAAAAAAAATATGCAGTTGCACTGACATCCCCAACAGCAAACACAGAATGAGGAGATAGGTTTCCACTTTGCTAGGCTGTAATGAGGCACCCTTCCCTCTACTGCCCACCAGAGTGATGTCAAAGAAGACTGACAGGATACTTGCATAGCTATCCAGAAGTTATAATCTCACCTCACCAGTACCAGTGGAGACTATATGAGGATCCTGGACTTCTGCCTTCACCCAAGGCTAACAAGGTACCTCTTTCTCCTCTACACTAGTTACAGAGAAAGGTGAATGGGAAACCACAATTACCACTACCATCCAGTGGTAAGAGGCCTGCCCTACCCTGGCTCATGTGGAGTCAGTGGAATCTTGCTAGAAGAGAACATCTAAATAAAATCCATAGTCCATAGCAATACACAGGCCCAGGATGCAAACAAAAAGTCATTCACCACACCAAGAACCAGAGAAACTGCAAAATAAGTAAGAAAAGACATTCAATAAACACCAACACCAAGATGATGCAGACATGAGAATTATCTGACAAGGAATTTAAAGCAGCCATTATAAAAATGTTTCAATGAACAATGGCAAACAGATTTGTAAAAAAATCTCAACCAATAAATAGAGAATGTAAAGGAGCACTAAATGAAAATTTTAGACCCGAAAAATATATGATAACTAAAATTTTAAAAATCTAGAGAATGGGCTCAGGAACAGAATAAGGAGAACAAAGGAAAGGATAAATAAACTTGAAGATAAAACAATAGAAATTATTCAATCTGAACACGAGATAGAAAATAGACTTAAAAAAAAGAGCAGAGCCTTAGGAAGCTATAGAACTGTAGCAAATGACCTAACATTCATGCTTTCAGAGTCCTGAAAAGAGAAGAGAAGGGAAAAAAAAATTAGAAGAAATGTGGCTAAAAATTTTCAAAATTTAACAAAATATATAAATTTACAGGTTCAAGAAGCTGAACAAACTCCAGTCAGGATAGGCTCAAAGAAATTTACGCCAACACATATCAGAGTCAAACTTCTAAAACCTAAAGACAAATAAAAAATCTGAAAACAGGGAGAGATAAACAATACCTTACCTATGGGTTGGGGGAGGGGAGTGGTAAACCAATTCAAATGACAGCAGATTTCTCATCACAAACCATGGATGCCAGAAGGAAATGGCATGACATTTTCCAGATGCGGAAAGCAAATAACTGTCAACTCAGTTATTTTTGCTGGTGCAGGGTTTTAACTACATGTTGATGGCTACTGTCTGATTAGGATGGTGGTTGCTGAAGGTTGGGGTGGCCGTGGCAATTTCTGAAAATAATAAAGGCAACACTGAAGTTGGTTACATCAACTGACTTCCTTTCATAAAAGATTTCTTTGTAGCATGTGATGCTGTTTGATAGCATTTTACCCATAGTAAAACTTCTTTAAAACTTGGAGTCAATTCTCTTGAGCTCTGCCACTGCTTTATCAACTAAGTTTATGGAATGTTCAAAACTCTTTGTTTTCATTTCAATGATGTCCATATCATCTTTACCAGGAGTAGACTCCATCTCAAGAAACCACTTTCTTTGCTCAATGATAGGAAATCATTTCTCATCTATGCAAGTTTTGCCATCAGATTGCAGCAATTCAGTCACATCTTCAGTCTCCACTTTTTATTCTAGTGCCATGGTTATTTCCACCACATCTGCAGTCTCTTCCTCCACTGAAGTCTTGAACCCTTCAAAGCCATCCATGAGAGTTGGAATCAACTTCTTCCAATCTCCTGTTGTGTTGATATTTTGACCTCCTCCCATAAATCACACGTTTATAATATCATCTAGAATTGTGAGTCCTTTCCAGAAGGTTTTCAATTCACTTCGCTCAGATCTATCAGAAAAATCACTATCTATGGCAGCCATAGCCTTACAAAATGTAGTTCTCAAATAATAAGACTTGAAAGTTGAAATTACTCCTTGATCCATGGGCTGCAGAATGAACATTTTGTTATAGTCATGAAAACAACATTAATCTCCTTTTACATCTCTATCAGAGCTCTTCGGTGACCAAGTGTATTGTCAATGAGCAGCAATACTTTGAGAAAAGTGTTTTTTTCCCTGAGAAATAGGTCCAAACAGTGGGCTTAACAGATTCAGTAAACCAGGCTGTAAACAGATGTTCTGTCATCTAGGCTCTTTTGTCCCATTTTTAGAGCACAGAAAGAGTAGATTTAGCATAATCCTTAAGGGCCCTAGAATTTTTTAATAGCCAATGGGCATTGACTTCAACTTAAAGTCACCAGTTGCACTAGCCCCTAACAAGAGTCAGCCCGTCCTTTGAAGTTTTGAAGCCAGGCATTGGTTCCTCTGTAGCTTTGAAAGTCCAAAATGGCATCTTCTTCCAATAGAATGCTGTTTTCATCTCCATTCAGACATCTGGGCCGCACACTGGCTCATGCCTATAATGCCAGCACTATGCCTATAATGCCAGCACTTTAGGAAGCCAAGGCAGGCAAATTGCTTGAGCTCAGAAGTTTAAGACCAGCCTGGGAAACACAGCAAAACCCTGTCTCCACTAAAAATACAAAAACTAGCCAGGCATGGTGGCAGGCACCTGTAGTCGCAGCTGCTTGGGAGGCCAAGGTAGAAGAATAACTTGAACCCAGGAGGTAGAGATTGCAGTGAGACTTAATCGCACCACAGCACTCCAGCCCAGGTGACAAAGTGAGACTGTCTCAAAAAAAAAAAATCTGATGCTTGTTATATCTATTTTCAAATTGTCTCAGCTTCTAGATAACTTGCTGAAGCTTCTCCATCAGGACTTGCTACTTCATCTTGCACTTTTATGTTACAGACATGGTTCTTTTCCTTAAACCTCATGAACCAACGTCTTCTAGCTTCAGACTTTTTTTTCTTCCTCACCCTTCTCAGCCTTCACAGAATTGGAGAGAGTAAGACCTTTCTCTGGATTAAGCTTTGGCTTAAGGGAATGTTATAGCTCCTTTGATCTTCTATTCAAACCACTCAAGCTTTCTCTATATCAGCAATAGGGCTGTTTCTGTTACTTATCGCTTGTGTGTTCACTGAAGTAACAAATTTCCTTCAAAAAGTTTTCCTTTGCCATCATAACTTGGCTGTTTGGTGCAAGAAGCCTAGCTTACAGACTATCTCAGCTTTTGACACTACTTCCTCACTAAGCTTAATCATTTCTAGCTTCTGATTTAAAGCAAAAGATGTGCCAAGGCCCTTTAAGAGCCCGCCTCTGGCATCAGTATGGGCTGGATGTGAGACAGGGCCTCAATGGAGATTATTCTGGAGCTTTAAGATTTAATGACTGCCTTGCTGGGTTTCGGCTTGCATGGAGCCTGTAGCCCCTTTGTTTTGGCCAATTTCTCCCTTTTGGAATGGGAGTATTTACCCAATGTCTACACCCCCATTGTATCTTGGAAATAACTAACTTGTTTTGATTTTATAGGCTTAGGGGCAGAAGGGACTAGCCTTGTCTCAGATGAGACTTTGGGCTGTAGACTTTTGAGTTAACACTAGCTAAGACTTTGCGGGACTGTTGGGAAGGCATGATTGTATTTTGAAATGTGAGAAGGACATGACATTTGGGAGGGGCCAGGGCAGAATAAGATGTTTTGGGTCTATGTCCCCACCCAAATCTCACATCAAATTATAATTCCCATGTTGACAGTGAGGCCTGGCGGGAGGTGACTGGATCATTGGGGTAGTTTCTAATAGTTTAGCACCCTCTCCCTAGTGCTGTCTGTGATAGAGTTCTCCCAAGAACTGCTAGTTTGAGTGTGTATCACGCCTGTAATCCCAGCACTGTGGGAGGCCGAGGCGGGTGGATCATGAGGTCAAGAGATCGAGACCATCCTGGTCAACATGGTGAAACCCCGTCTCTACTAAAAATACAAAAAATTAGCTGGGCACGGTGGTACATGCCTGTAATCCCAGCTACTCAGAAGGCTGAGGCAGGAGAATTGCCTGAACCCAGGAGGTGGAGGTTGTAGTGAGCCAAGACAGCGCCATTGCACTCCAGCCTGGGTAACAAGAGCGAAATTCTGTCTAAAAAAAAAAAAAAAAAAAAAAAAGAGTGTGTATCATCTCCCTGCTGATCCTGGTCCACCATGTGAAGGTGTGTGTGCTTCCCTTTCACCTTCTGCAGTAATTGTAAGTTTCCTAAGGCCTCCCTAGCCATGCTTCTTGAACAGCCTATAGAACTGTGAGTCAATTAAACCTTCTTTCTTTATAAATTACCCAGTCTCAGGTAGTTCTTTATAGCAATGTGAGAATGGACTGATACAATGTGTAGCTCTCCTTTTCACTTGAACACTTACAGGCCATTGCAGGGTTATTAACTGGCCTAATTTCCATATTGTTGTGTCTCAGGGAACAGAGAGGCCTTAGAAGAAAGAGGGAGATGGGGAACAGCTGGTAAGTAGAGTAGTCGAACAGGTCATCAGTTAAGTTCACCACCTTATATGGGTGCCGTTCATG